CACCAAAAGGCATCTAGAGGAATGCGCTAATGACTGAGTGAAGGGACGATAGACCCAGCAGAGACACTTCAGATGAAGAAAAAAGTGCCCTGCTTTGAATGCATAATATTGCAGAACCCCACAAGATTAGGTATCTGAAAAATATCTAATGTAAATGGAACCCCTTCCCTTCCAGACATGAGATTTACTTCTATCTTAGGCAAGCTATCATTGTAATGCCTATTTCAAGTTTCTTGCTCCTAACTCTAACAAAGAATTAAGCTTCCCAACCCAAGCTGGTCAGAAAGTACAGAATTTTTAAACAGCATTCTGATAAGCCTGAATAAAGACACATATACAGACAGGTGACAATTTTAACACTGAAAGCAGGAAAATATTTCCTCTGGGGTTTTTGTTTGTTTGTTTTTTAAATTGGATCATTTAAATTTCTTTTTCATTTTCTTTTGAGGGTTTTATCTATTTTTTTTTGCATATTAGATTGGGTCATCAGCAATAATAAGCAATAACAGTATACAGTCCTGCTACCACCAATAAATTGAAACCGGGCCACACCATGTTGGAAGTGTTCCATTAGTTTGAATGGCATCTTAAACTACACACTGACTGAAACGTCATATCTGTTTGTCTAAATGAGAGTATCCCATAATAATTTGGCAATTTTATTTTGAAAGATAGCACTGTGATTGATTTTCCCGACACTGAAATGATTGACTTTGGAGATACAAGGAGATGGGGAAGGAGGAACTTCTCTATAGGAGGAGTCACTCACTACAGTTAATGTGAAATTCTTTTAAAAGGGGGCGGGGCCTACTGGACATGTTTATTAGAGATGAGAATAGTCCATTCAGTTTTGTTCAGTTTTGTTTAGAGGTAAATTACATTACATCAAATGGATACCATTTGAACCACGAGTTAGCACATTCAAATAAAGGCTTAACATTAAATGTTATGATGTCAGTTTTAAAGTTACACCCTTTTGAAATTCAGATTAATATTCAAGGGTCACCCTGAGCAGAGAAACCCAGATGTTAAACCTAAAAAAAATCATAGATTACTCTGTCTCTTGGCCTCTTAATGGTTGAATGAAACACTTTTTGCACAAAAATGCAAGATGCCTTTGCTCGAGTATGACAAGAATCATTTTCACTATGTTCTCCTCCAATTTGAAAATTACGTATTTAAAACCTTTTGAGTTTAATGCGTTACGGGCATTACCAGTTCCAGTTGGGACACTTCCATATTATTCCAGTTGCCCACTACAAGAATTTGACTTTAATTTTCCTGTGCACATAGTTATTTAACATAGAAGTACCAACTGGAACACTCAGTCAGCATTCCTAGTGGGTTTCATTAACATGAAATATTGGATTATGTAGCCAATTATAGGGCTGACTGGTTTTAATTAATATGTTAATTCTGTGTTATTTTGTAATCAACTTCCCCCTTGCTCAACAGAAGCCCAAACCATTCTCAGAATCTGCCTTCACTGGAAAAACAGATGTTGGCATACAATTTGCTTTGAACCTTTTGTGATGAAAATTTTGTAATTGCTTACAAAAATGGTGCGTCTGCAGTTCATCATCAGAGTAGTGTCAATTGTGATAGATGTCATGTTTTCATCCACTGGCTCTAGAGCCGGAGACCCTCACTCCTCCTCCCTTCCCCTTTCAGCTTCCCTTAAACATGTCAACATCTGCCCACTGATGGAAACATCATCAAAGATGACTGTTTGCTATTTCTGATTTGGTGCAGCTTAGTCCTTGTGTTATTGCAGGGTAAAAGATAAACAGATTCAGATGGGTAAATCCTATGGGTTGTGCAAATCCCCAGGGAAAGCCAGAAGCCATCCTGCTCCCAAGACTGCAGTTACACCAGCCTGTGCTAACCTTCCAGAATTGGGCTAATTCTTTTTTTTCCATCAGAAAAAGGCAGAGTTAATTATCAGCCTATTGGGGTCTGATTTGGGTGGTCTAAAATAACATCCTTGCCCAAAAGTGCTGACACTCCAGAACACGCTTCTAGAAAAAAATAATTGTGGTTAGAGATACCATTTCATAACATTCATAACATTAAGAGTAACGTGTAATTTCATGATTAATGCAAATTGATGAGCACAAACACCATATCCAGACAGCTCTTGGCAGTCTTGCATCTGTACTGGTCTTGCTCTTTTTAGTTCAATTCCTCAGGAGAACCATAGTTTCCTCCATAGGCATACAGAAAGTAACAAAACCCCACTGTAAATATCCAAGTCAAAGGTAGCTTTCCCAGAAACACATTAGTCTATTTTTGCTGGAAAATTAGTAGTGTCACATTGAGGCCAGTGACAGAGTGCAGGATTGAGCTACCTGTGTATGTTTGCATCTTAGACAATAACACTCCAGATATAGTAGCATGTCCAGAGTCCCAAAAAGTAGGCTAAAAAATGCAAAAAACAAAAACAAAAAACCAACAAACAACAGACAACAACAAAACACAACAAAAAAAAAAAAACACAAACTTCTTTTCACTTGATGGAATTTAGCACTAAACTACATTTCGGCACTCTCAAAGCAAGTTTTGGGGGAGTCATTTCAGGTCTAAAATACAGAAAAGTCAATAAACAGGAGATAAAACTAGCATGGCAGAATTGCCACAGCTGCGTCAAACCTTAACAAACTGAAAATTCACATCTGTTGCCAACATCTCATTGTTTGTAATAACACACATTTGCTGGCCTGCTGCCTGGCTTCTACAGAATAGTCATATACCAGTCAGCTTCAGGAGGACACATAATTTTCCTGTTTACAGGCAGTTAATCACTTCAAGGTTTCATCCCAAAAAGACAACTTTGAGAGTATGAAATCTTCTCAAAGCTCATTAATACTGAGGAGCCTACTGAGACGGTCTTTGGATGGCAGTGAAAGAAGAAAATCCTACCAACAGCTTGTATCTTTGATTTCAGTCCTTATTGCCCCTCCATGCTGCTCCTAGAACAAGAGCTCATGGCAAGTCTTCTGGAGGGTAGTTTCTCTAGAGTCTGGCAACCTGGGAACCTTCTCCAATCACCACCTCTTTTTTCTTTTTTTTTTTTTTTAAAAAAAAAAAAGTCCTTGGTTTGTACATGTTGGAAGGCTAATTGGAATCTCAGCATTTCAGTCCTCCTGCACCAAACCTGAGCAGCTCTCTGAGCAAAGTTATCACCAAGGCCTAACATCAAGTTATATGAAGTTTTATACGAGGAGTTTGCTCTCTGTCTTTTGACATTCCATAAATAGCTGTAGGATTTATCACTCAGCTTTATCAATATCTTTCAGACATGATTAATTACTTCCTTTCATGGATTACTTTTTCTTTCTCCAGTGGTGTACTGGAAGCTGTACAGTATCTTACGTACAATATCTCACACCAAATGTAATCATTTGGCATATTCTTACCATTTATTTTATCTTAGATACGGAAGATTTGGTTCAACCACAGCTTGGCAATTTATCAAATTAAGGTTAAAGCTACAAACTTATAAACTATAAAAAAGCTTCATGACCAGACTAGTACCAAGGCACTCTCTTCCACACGGGTTCTTTAACATCTGATATGGGCTGAGTTCATTAGCCCCTCCATCAGTGAGAATACTGGTGGGAAAAGCAACTGACTGAAGAAATACGCAAAACCAGAAGAGGGGATAGAAGGAGAGAGCATGACCACAAAATTCTCATTTTCCTTGGGAATCACAATTATCCAAAATCTTATCATTGGAAGTTAAAGTTAGTGAGTAAATCTAATCTGCCTTACAAACATTTACTGTAATTTCATGTTATGACTGATGGATTGTTTCAAGAGTCATTGTGGATTTTGGATGCATCCCCTGTTCATATTCTATCAGTCACCTCTTTACATGTATGAGCGGGTCCCTCAGGGCTTTGTATTGACAGAATTTCTGAGTATTTTACCATATAAAATTTATTCTATAGTTCACAAAATAAAACTGATAACGAGTAATTATTCTTGTCTGAGCAGAAGAAAAGACCCTGTTATGAATATCAAAAGCACTCCCAGCAAGTTGTAAATTAATATTGTCCATCACTTCTGTGCCAATTTGGTAGCTTTATTAAACAGCAAAAAAATTGACTGGGACACTTTTAGTAGGTCCTCCTAGATAGTTCAAAGTACCCACACTTTTCTGAACAACTTGCTGTTTCTAATATAGAAGAAAAAACGACCAAACCACTCTGTTCTGATTTCTGTGTCTATTTACCAATTTACACATACTGAAAAATGCATTTGCATGACAGAATGGCAGAGGTACGTGCAGTGTTAAATGAATCTCCTTCCTTGGGAAAAGAAGCTTTCTGACCTGAAGCTATGCTTGTACTCTAACCTTTTGGCAGTGTTGCCTATTAACAAGTATGTCTATACTCCTGGAATAACAGTTGCAGCATTAGGATGAAATGCAAGAATTTTGGCTGTAATTGAGCCTTTCTAGATAAAATTATACCTAAGCTGTCTACTCATCTATCAG